AGTTTTATAAAGTCAAAGGTATGCTTGATTATTCCTAGGATTTGGTTAGCTTATTTTGCTGCTGCTCCCACTTGTTGTGCAACTTTCAGTGAATGATGGGTTCTGATTCCAAGACCCTTTCGTTCATCAATCTGCTGCAAGGTAATGCTGTTAATTTGGTATTTATGATGCGAGTTGTTATGCCTCACATACATGGTCTTGCATGTGAGGTCTTGTATATTAAAAAGCATTTGTCTGTCTTCTGACTATATCCAGAGTTCACTTAGATCTCTTTGTAAGATCAATTTCACTGCCCACTTTACCATAAATCGTAAGTGTCATTTGCAAATAAGATGTGGTTTGAAATATTCTCATCTATGTCAGTAATTCACAAAACTAAAAAAAAGTTGGCCGCGAAACGAATCCTTGCGATACCCCACCTACCACATTTCTCCAGTCAAATTCCTTCTTGTTCAGCATGACCCTTTGTTTTCTTTGATTTAACTACTGTTTTATCCATTATAGTATTCTACCATTTATTCCACGTGCCTGTAATTTCCTTGCCAGTCTTTCATGTGGTACCTTATCAGAAGCTTTATTCATTCTGGATTCGAATCCCAAACAGGACAGAAATGGTTGGGTGTATTTCCTATCGCCTAATGCGTCTGTTTACCTAAAATAAAACTCCCGTTTTCGGGAAGTACATGTCTCACAAACGTTTCCTGCTGTTTCTAAGGTGCCTACACTTTGAAAACAGTGATAGTGTGGTTCAAAACAATAGCCACTGGAAAGTGTTCAGTAAAGTGAGAGGAACTTTTATAGATTTCTTTGTACCAGGGCAGAATGTAGGAATCAAAACAAGTCAGCGGGAATGACTGTGGATGAAAAGTGAGAAGTAATTATCAAAAGAAGGCACCAAACTGGGAAGGCTGTGTAGCACCATCAAATGTACGGCTTATTCATGATTAAGACCCCATTCTCCCTTTTGCTCCAGCCTGGACACCCAGCCATCCAATTAGGGCAGCCCCTCATGGGCGACTCCTCCAGTGGGCGGTCCGGTGACTCGCAAGGACCCTACATGGTGCCCTTCTACACGTAGAACACACAAAGAGGGGCAGGAGAAGGGTTAAAGGCAACCCTCACCGGGAGGTGTACGTGAGCCCCTCACCACGACAAGGCAACACCATGGAAGGGAAGTGAGAAGGCAGAAACCTCCAGAAATACAACTTTGAGCCACCAAATGGGACCCTGGAATCCGACCCGAGGAGTAGCAGCCGAGTGATCATACTCATAATGCCATGCACACTACAGTGCACAGATGGCGCACCACCAAACCGATACTATGTTGGTTGGTGCAGTGTAGAGATTAATAGTTGGCAGTCCAGGGGTTAAGGGGCAATTTTTGTCTCATATTTGCCTGTCCTCCTAAAATCAGTGATATTTTCCTTTGTCATGAGACCTCCCTCTAAACTTACTATTTTCTCAATTTTTTCTCTGCTGCTGCTGCTCTCTGTCCTAGACAGTATTTCCTTTTCTAAACACCCAAAAATTATTATGGACTCTCTTCAATCTGCAGTGTTTTGTACTAATTTACTGATGGTAACCAGTTCTTTCCTAATTGCTTGTCTAATGCCTGTTTGATGAGGTTTTGGGAGTTCTTCTACTCCCCCAAGCTCGGCCCAAGGCCAGGTTTGACTTGTGAGAGCTTAGTCCACCAGGCTGTTGCTTTGAGTGGCCTGCAGGCTCACATACCCACCATAGCCCGGTTGGTCCGGCACTTTTTCTTGAAAACAATCTAGTTTTCTCAAAGATGTCCACGGTTGTTCCGGCAATATTTCTTAGGCTCGCTGGGAGGACGTTGAACAACTGTGGACCTCTGATGTTTATACAGTGTTCTCTGATTGTGCCTATGGCACCCCTGCTCTTCACTGGTTCTGTTCTGCATTTTCTTCCATATTGTTCACTCCAGTACGTTGTTATTTTACTGTGTAGATTTGGGACCTGGCTCTCCAGTATTTTCCATGTGTATATTATTTGGGATATCTCTAGTCTCCTTTCTAGTGAGTACATTTGGAGAGCTTTGAGACGATCCCAATAATTTAGGTGTTTTATCTCGTCTTTGCGTGCCGTATATGTTCTCTGTATTTCCTCTATTTCAGCAATCTCTCCTGCTTTGAAGGGGGAAGTGAGTACTGAGCAGTACTCAAGACGGGACAGCACAAGTGATTTGAAAAGTACAACCATTGTGATGGGATCCCTGGATTTGAAAGTTCTCGTAATCCATCCTATAATTTTTCTGGCTGACGCAATATTTGCTTGGTTATGCTCCTTAAACGTTAGGTCGTCAGACATCATTATTCCCAAATCCTTGACATGCTGATTTCCTACTACGAGCAGATTCGATTGTATTTTGTACCCTGTATTATGTTTCAGATCCTCATTTTTGCCGTACCCGAGTAAATGGAATTTATCATTGTCAAACATCATCTTATTTTCTGCTGCCCAATCGAAAGCTTTGTTAATATCTGCTTGTAGTTTTTCAATGTCTTCAGCAGAGGTAATTTTCATGCTGATTTTTGTGTCATCTGCAAAGGATGACACCAAGCTGCGACTTGTATTTTTGTCTATATCTGATATGAGAATAAGGAAAAGCAGTGGTGCAAGGACTGTACCTTGAGGTACAGAGCTTTTAATTGCACTTGGACTCGATTTTATTTGATTGACTGTTACTCTTCGTGTTTTGTTCGATAGGAAATTGAGTATCTAGCATCCTACTTTTCCAGTTATTCCTATTGATCTCATTTTGTGTGCTATCACTCCATAGTCACATTTGTCAAATGCCTTTGCAAAGTCTGTGTATACAGCATCTGCATTTTGCTTTTTTCTAAAGCTTCTGTGATTTTTGTCAGTGGTTGAGTAACTGTGACAGACAGGATCTTCCCACTCTAAATCCATGTTGTCCTGTGTTGTGTAGCTCATTATTTTCCATAAAACTAGAAAATTGATTCCTAATCACTCTTTCAAAAACTTTTATTATGTGTGATGTTTGTGCAACTGGTCTATAATTTTTTTGCCAAGGCTTTACTACTTCCCTTGTGCAGAGGAGCTATATCTGCAGATTTAAGTGCAGCTGGTATCTTCCCTGTATCCAGGCTCTTTTTCCACATTACGCTGAGCGCTCGTATTACTGGTACTTTACACTTATTTATGAATATTGAATTCCACGAGTCAGGCCCAGGAGCTGAGTACATGGGCATATTGTCAATTTTTCTTTTAGAGTCTTCTGAGTTCATGTTAATATCCGTTATATTTTCTGCAGCTTGAATGTCATTCATAAATTAGCTGTCTGGATCATCAACTTCATGTTGTTTATTGGTGTGCTAAACATAGCCTCATACTGGCTTCTTAGAATTTCACTAATTTCTTTGTTGTCCTCTGTGTAAGTACCTTTGGTTGTAATTAAAGGTCCAATACTGGTGGAGGTTTTTGATTTTGATTTTGCGTATGTGAAAAAATATTTTGGATTTTTCTTCATCTCTTTTATAGCTTTCTGTTCCAATTCCATTAACTCAGACTCTTATGATCGCTTCAATGTTTCTCTATTTCTTCGATCTCCCTGTTCAGGTTTATTTTCCTTTCTTGTGATAGTTGAGTTCTTGTAATGACGAACATCTTGTTGGTCATTTCTGTTTTTGACTTCCTAACAAACTTCCTTGATCGTTTCTTTCTCTTTTACACCTTATGCATATGTTTCATTTATTTCTCCACTGCAATTTTTCAATGTCATGTTATGGAATGTGGAATAGGAGAACATAGATCCCACACAACCTATAAATTATGTGAGAAATCTTTAAAGAATTCTGATAAAGAGAGAGACCAATGGGTGGTTCTAGATAGAAAACTACCACCTGAGGATCAATTAAAGAACATCGTGTGAGGAGCCTGTGCTACACTTTCTGACTTCAGAATTGCTTTTAAATACATGGATGGCAAAATACTAAAGAAAATGCTCACGACTTTTGTTAGGCAAAAGATAGAATATGCAGCGGTTATATGGTGCCCATATCTTAAGAAGCACAACAACAAACTGGCACTAACAACGAACTGAAGGACAAGAGCTACAAGGAGAGGTTAGAGGCATTAAATATGCCAAAACTAGAAGATAGAAGAAAAAGAGGCAATATGATCACTACGTACAAAATAGTAACTGAAGTCAATAAAATTGATAGGGCAAAATTCCAGAGACCTGGAACTTCAAGAACAAGAGGTCATAGATTTAACTAAACAAAGCTGCTGAAGAAATACAAGAAAATTCACCTTCGTAAACAGATTGGTAGACAGTTGGAACAAGTTAGGTGAGGTGGTGGAGGCCAAAACCGTCAGTACTGTAATTTCAAAGGGTTCTATGACGATGGGTGCTGGGAAGACGGGACACCACGAGTGTAGCTCTCATCCTGTAACTTCACTTAGGTAATTACATATTCACTTACATACATACCATACATTGGTGGAACCTCCATATTCATCACAATTTGTTCCCGAGGGCCTAACAAACATGGAAACTGATGAATATGGGAAACAAATTTCATAGGAAATAACCAAAATTCAATTAATCCATTCAATAACCCCACAAAAATACATAAGTAAAAATTTAGTCAGAACATTACCTTTAATGTACTGAAGAGAGATGGTGGTAGAAGCTGAAGAGGAGACAGGACATTATTGTTTAGAAGGGGAGTCGCTTTCCATTAAAATATCAGGCAACTCCAATTCTGGTGAGCGTTGTCGTTTGTTTCCCTCTGTCGACAATTCACTAGCACTTGATTTTGCAAAGAAATTATCCATTGTACTGTTTTTCAAACTTTCCTGAAGTAGCCAATCACATTATCACTGAATGCTTTTACTATGGCAATGTTTGGGTGCCACTTTTCGACCATATTCCATGACGAATACGGAAGCATTTTTCGGCAGTGACGAATATAGAGGTTCCACTATACATATATTTCAAATGAAAGCAACACAAACTTTATTCTTTTATTTAAACAATATGTCATTCCATCACAGAAACATTGTACAAGTCTCCTACAGTACATATGGGTTGGGGGGCATATTATACTGTCTGATAGGTACTGTACTTACATTTGCACTCCTTGTATATAAAGAGGCTCACATTCAATTTGAAAGACCTGGCAAAGTGCAAACCTCTATTTTCTTACTGAGACATATCTTGCATATCTGGTCAAGAGAGTTTGTGAATGAGGTATACACAAACTTGCAAATAACTTCTAGCAATGTAAAAAGAGAACTCTTAGCACAATTTCTCTTAATTATGTACATAAAATCAAATTTACAAGTTTGAACATATGTGTATTTTTCTAATGACAAGATGAATATTGTGAAACACGGGTACTGATGTTGTATGAGATGTGTGAACTGGCTAAAATATGTCAATTCTATATTTTAAGCAACACTAACCAGCTTGATGTTGTCAAACACGTCCATTTTACCATAGAAATACTTCCATAACATCATTTCATAGTGACTGAGTATTCACATACCACTTCAAGTTAAAAATGAAGGCAAACTTAATGTACCACCTCCTGACATCTGTTTCTGCTTGTACAAACACATTATCAAAGTTGTTAAAACATAACCAATCATTAAATTATGCTCTTAAAACATCCAAAATTAACAAAATAAGAATGAATAAAACTTTTCCTCTGAATGCATCCTTTCCCTGATGGTATGGCTTGTATAACCAAAATGTTGCTCACATATCTCACGACTTAAGTGACCTAACAAAACAAGTCTCCTATGAAGGCATCACTTTACAAAGGAGGTAAATTTTCCTACAGCTAACTTTACATATCTCACTCACAAGATGTCTAAGCATATCACTCGTAAATCATTAAGATAGAGAGATGACTCAAATCATATCCACAGGCAAGTGATGAGAAAGTGTACATTCATTACACCTGGAAATTTAGTATAGATTACTGAGTACAAGACCATTTGCTAAATTCTTCCTTATGAAGAACTGGGAGGCACAGTATGTTTGCTCAGGTCAGGATGCACATGGATATTAACACACTTTCTACCATGGACAGACATTACATGATTCCTTTGGTGAGACTGTGATGATTCTAAATTAAGAAAAACACATAATGCTACTATAGTTTTGTCAGGTCCCATTTGTCATTTCTGTACAAAAAAGTAACCTTTCATTTGCAAAACTTCCCTAATTACAAAATATGATTCAAAATTGGCAAAGTGACTCCATAATGTCGTAACTATGTCAACCACATATTAGCATAATGATTGCTATTGGAATCTGCAACAACATTAATGGTCGTGTTAGTCATTGCAGAATCTGTAAATGTGGCCGTGGTGGAGAGAGAATAGCAGCGGCGACGGTGGTGGTGGTAGGTGTTATGGGAGGGGTTGCAGTTGAGACCGTTTTGGTGGTAGTGTTGACGTCACGATGTCATCATTTCACTCCCACTACTTCCACCACTACTAGTAACTGGTCCCTTCAGGGAGTCATTTATGTCACGACGGAAAACTGACAAATTTTGTGTGAATCTGAAGAAGGAATTTATAATAAAAGTACATTAATATGGTTAAAAACAAAATCCCATATACTGACATTTGCCTATTTACTGAAAATATCTTGCACAAACCCATTTACTAACACGCTTTAATTTGTCTATGCCCCTCAAGACCTTGTATGCAAGTATCAAATCCCATTTCTTCTCTCTAATGTTGTTAGAGTGAGCTCTTACATCCTAGTACTAATCTAGTTGCAAACCTCTGTACTTTCTCAAGCTTTTGTTTATGCTTCACAATGTGTGTGTGGGGGTTCCATGCTGGTGCTACATACTTAAGTAATGTCTCACATAGGCAGTATGTATGGACTTGATCATCATCTTATTTACATTCTTAAATGAGATTCTTATGTTTGTTAACATCCCATATGCTGCTTATGTTACCTTATTCATATGAGCTTCAGGTGTTAATGTTGAGATTGTCTACTCCCCAGGTCTTTTTCACATATTGTTTCATGTATTTGCTTTCCCCTTATGGCGTAGTTAAATACAGGTCTGTTATTTCCCTTACCCATTTTTATCACTTTACACATATTTCGACTGAATTCCAACAGCCATTTATCTATCCACTCCTGAAGTTTGTCAAGCACACAACTGTGCTTGTAGGGTGCTTGACATAAGCTTTCCGGTTACACAGCCGAAAAGGAAGCAACCTTTCCGGTTGCCTTCCCGGCAGTGATATAACATCATCACTGTTTCCAGCGTGTCTGTGAAGGGGTCAGGTTTTGGCTCTGGTCCCCAGTAGATCTAAAGAACTCTGCAGCTGATATGACCTAGTAATTGATACACTGTCAGTGATGATAGCTTCAGAGAGCCACCGTGGATCATGTAGTAAGAGGTGTTTCACTACGTTCAACGCTGGATTTTGACATATTTAAGCAATATATACATATATTTAGATTTAGCTGATGGTTTTGGGAGTTGGATGATCCACAATAACATAATGTAAAAATATTAGCTTTTTGTTGTTTTGTGTATATTTTTGATAAATGCAGAATTATTGTTAAAAAATAAATGTGAAAAAATAATGTCATATATGAGTTAATTTAAAAGATTCTATGCACTGAACAGTAGTTTATATTTAGCTTAGATCAGCTGTTAAAGTGAGCATGTTCTGGTGGACTTAGCTTGGAGGTGGTGGTTTTGATGCTCTGACAAGGAGGCCTTGTCAGTGACCGAGCTGCAAACACATTGATCTCCGAAATCGTCAACAGGTAGGTTGACAATTGACAAGGGTCAATCCGAGTTAATGATAGCTCATGTCATGTGACAAAAAATATCTGGGGATAATATTCAGTGTGTGTGGTGATATTATGGGTATCACACATGGTCAATAGTTGGCTCTGGCAACCTATGCGCCATAGGGCAATAAATTCCCATTCTTACTAAGCATACGGATGTGAGGATGGGGGTTGCAGAGAAGTTCATGGTTTTCTAAATGGAAAATGCTGCAATGTTCATGATTTACTGGATAGTGACAGAGAATTCAGTACTCTGATACAAGTGAAGATTAGAATGAGTCCCTCTTGGCAGGATGGTAAACAGAGGAAGAAAATTTACATTACAATGCTAGGTTGGCCTATTGCTCCCATGGCCCCTGCTCTCCATATCTTCAGTTTCATTAAACTTTGCTTTTCTTGTTACTATTATTTAAGAAGTTTTGCTTCACATAAGAAGCTAGCTCATGGAGCATTTGAGGGATCTTAGCTCAAAACTGGGTGTCAAAGGAAATGCATAAACAACATGAAAGTGAAAGATCCAGACAATTTCTTTATGGGTGATACCCAAACCCCTGTAAATATAACTGATATCAACATAAGCGTACTAGACTTTGAAAGAGAAATTGAAAACATGCCCATGCACTCAACTCCGGGTCCAGATTCATGGAATTCAATTTTTATAAAGAAATGCAAGGTGCCAGTAGCACAGGCACTCAGTATAGTGTGGAGGAAGACCTTGGACACGGGGGAGATACCAGATGCGCTTAAAGTAGCAGACATAGCCCCTCTACACAAGGGAAGGAGCAAAGCATTGGCAAAGAATTATAGACCAGTTACACTAACGTCCCACATAATAAAAGTATTTGAGAGAGTGATTAGGAGTCAGGTCAATTTCATGAAGACCAATGACCTTCACAACCCAGGCCAACATGGATTTAGAGCGGGAAGATCGTGCCTCTCACAGCTACTTGATCATTACGACAAGGTCCCCGAGGCATTAGAAGAAAAACAGAATGCTGATGTGGTATACACGGACTTCGCAAAGGCTTTTGATAAATGTGACCATGGAGTGATAGTACACAAAATGAAGTCAATGGGAATAACCGGTAAAGTAGGACGCTAGATACTCAGTTTTCTGTTTACAAACAGGACACAACGAGTAACAGTCAATCATATAAAATCGAGTCCAAGCACAGTTAAAAGCTCTGTACCTCAGGGTACAGTCCGTGCACCACTGCTTTTCCTTATTCCTCTTATCAGATATAGACAAAAATACAGGTCACAGCTTCATATCATCCTTTGCAGATAACACAAAAATCAGCATGAAAATTACCTCGGCTGAATACATTGAAAAACTTCAAGCAGATATTAGTAAAGTTTTTGACTGAGCAACAGAAAATAACATGATGTTTAAAAGTGATAAATTCCAGGTACTCAGGTATGGTAAAAATGAGGACCTTAAACATAATACATGGTACAAAACAAAATCAAATGTGCCCATAGTGTGAAAGCAGCATGTAAAGGATTTGGGAATAATAATGTCTGATGACCTAACGTTTAGGGAGCATAACCAAGCAAATATTGCGTCAGCCAGAAAAATGATCGGATGGATTACGAGAACTTTCAAATCCAGGGATCCCATCACAATGGTTGTACTATACAAATCACTTGTACTGTCCTGTCTTGAGTACTGCTCAGTACTCACTTCCCCCTTCAAAGCAGGAGAGATTGCTGAAATAGAGGGAATACAGAGAACATATACAGCATACATAGACGCAATAAAGCACCTAAATTATTGGGATCCTCTCAAAGCTCTCCAAATGTACTCACTAGAATTAAGATGAGAGAGATATCAAATAATATACATGTGGAAGATACTGGAGGGCCAAGTACCAAATCTACACAGTAAAATAACAACGTACTGGAGTGAACGATATGGAAGAAAATGAAGAATAGAACCAGTGAGGAGCAGGGGTGCCATAGACACAATCAGAGAACACTGTATACACATCAGAGGTCCGCGGTTGTTCAACGTCCTCCCAGCGAGCATAAGAAATATTGCCGGAACAACCGTAGACATCTTCAAGAGAAAACTAGATCATTTTCTCCAAAGAGTGCCGGACCAACCGGGCTGTGGTGGATATGTGGACTTGTGGGCCGCTGCAAGACACAGCCTAGTGGACCAAACTCTCACAAGTCAAGCTTGGCCTTGGGCCGGGCTTGGGAAGTAGAAGAACTCCCAGAACCCCATCAACCAGGTAAAACCAGGCATTTCTTAGCCAGTCCCTTAGATGCTTCTTTGACACATTTCTTAGATGCTTCTGATCCCTTCCCTTAAGTCTCTTTCTGAGCTTATTTGGTTTTCTGGGCTTCAAGTGTTAGTTTGTGGCTCTCTTGTGGCAATGGTGTTGTCACCTGGTCAAGGTCAAGATACGGTCATCTGTAAACTGGTAGTTTAGAGAGTGATAACTGCCATTCCATTCCTTGTATTTCTAATTACAGTATCACTAACAGGAAGTGACGAGGTTATTGCGCTCCCTCATTTGTATTACTGAACATGAAGAGCAAAGCTGATCCCTTGTTGGTGTCTGAGTTACACTCGCCACTTTCTTCCTTTCCTAAACACGTGGGTGGACCACGAAGCTCAAGAAGCACGCGAGGGTCTTAACTCAGAAAAGGAATTTGCGAATACTGTATACTTATAAAATCTATATAAATTATTCTACATATACAAATTCAGTAAAATATAAATAAGAATATAGAAATTACATGACATCAATAAATTCATAAATAATTCCTGCAAGTTCTGGAATTAAGCTAATACGTAGATGCAAGGTCGTTACTCACTATTTCAAAATCATCATAAGTAATTACACAAATACTTGAGCTAAAATTATTATTTTCTGTACTTATTACATACATATACTCTGCAATTCTATGACACAAAGTATCGAACTTTCAGTTAGTAGCAGATAGAAAAATTACAGCTTCAAAACATAAGTATTAGTTTTTGTGTAATTGGAAAAATATATTAGGTAATATAGTTCAAATATTTTATAGGTATTTTCTTTAGAAAAGTTTGAATGAAAATTTATTGGATGAAAATGATTATATTTAACTAAATTAATGATTTTACAATGAAAATAAATGAAATAACTTACTTATCTCTATTTTTTGTGAGAAGATTTGGCTCAATCCCCTCCATAAGGCTGTCAAACCACTGTGCCATCGCCCCTTGTTTGTCTGGTGCTTGTTGACTGATAATCTGTTGTCTCAGCTGGCCAAAATACTGTGGAGATAAAAAGACCAGCTTTGAATATAATGAAACACCTCTGTCTGGTAAAGCGTTAAGGGGAGAACCCAAACACATTAAGACTGATGCCCTACAACGAAACCTAACCAATCCCTGAGCCCGAGATAGTGACATGTTAATGTGCCTCCCAGATGCCCAGAGGCACATTAACATGTTCATTTAGGAACATGGCCTCTAGGAGCATCACAGGACATGGCATCACATTAGGAGACCAACGTTAATACCAGGTAAATCTGGGCCAAAGTGGTCACCTGGAACGTGGGGCAAGGGATGAAGGTTTTCAAACCCAAGAGATTGAGGACAAACCAGAGCTCTGCAGAGTTCCATTTCGGAATCGGGAATAGACGGGACACCCACCAAAAAGATATGGTAATTTTGACCATGCCAGTAGCAATCCACTTTGAGGCAACTCATTGAAGGTGAGGGGAAGAGGGCCTGTCCTGAAAAGGGAAAGGATCGATCAACTATATTGCAGATCACACAAAACTACCCGAAAAGCCTACAAATCATGGGACTGGAAGCTGGCAAAATAAGTGAGCCCTCCCCCTTCAGCCCTTCTGCCTCCCAAAAGAGTTGGCACAAACCATAAGAAGCAAGACCCCTTTGCAAATTGCACATGATCTGAATATGACCTTGCATATTCTGGCTCTACCTCGGGCCTACTTCAACGAACAGCCAGTGTTGCCACAGTCCTCCCTGCCTGCCTCCAGGAAGGAGATCAGAAACCATGAGTACAAAGAAGGTCTGAAGTCGATTGACAAGACACTGCAGTTGAAGAGACTGACCAACTACTTTCTATGGAAAGAGAAGCAAAAAAAAAAAAAAAGGGGGGGGGGAGGTAAACAAGAGAGGCCAGGGGCCCCAAGAAGATTATAACGACTGGGCTGAGACAGCCTGCTGGCAAACAAGGCAGGCAACGAAGAATGCAGCTCCTGCCTCCCAGAACACAGGCACATATAGCTTGTACAAAACTGCTGATGCTGCCACAATAGATACCAAAGTACCTACACCAGACGCAGAACCAAGCACTTCAACAGCCTCGTGGAACCACTCAGAGTGGAGCTCCATGGCAGCCAAAAACCACACGACCAAAGCCAGATGCAAGCGAGCCTGAAAGTCCTCCATCACGAAGGACTCTGACAGTCATTGAGTGGCACAAAACATGTGCTGGCCAAAAATACTTGAAACACTGTCGCCACCTCAAGTTACTCAAGCAAGCAGGAATAACAAAAGCCACACAAGTCCCAAGGAAAAACGAATGATTGTCTGCTAACCAGGGCAACACCAGGACCTCATAACACAACCAAAAGGCAGAAGACAACCTGAGCTCAAAAGAGGCATACTCCAGGTCATGCAGGAGTTACTGAAACAGATCCTCACAAGCTACTGTCAGAGTGACTTAAGATGAAGGAAACCCTCCAGAAGGATGGGTCTGACACTCCAAATGGATGCAAAAATGCACCCTATAGAGAGCTGCATTAAAATCAAAATTATACAAGGAGGGGGGGATAAAAGAACCCCCACCCCCTCTCTGAAGCAAAAGGCCTTAGTCCAAAAGAACACCCACCCACTTGGGGTCCAAGGGAATCCAAGGGCTCATATCTGACTCTTCCCATGATGACCCTGGAAACCAACCATGAAGATTCTGGGGCTGAGCCTGCATCCTTGTCCACAGCACAAGACAGAAAAGTGGAGTCCAAAAAAAAGGTTTCACAAGAAGGGGCTAGTTAGAAAGAAAACCCCAAAACCTCAGTGGGATCAGCTGGCTTGACTTCCTCATGCCTGAATTGGAAGGAGCCGCCTCTGGAAGTGGCCAAGCCACATCCTGAGCAAATCGCTGCCGAAATCTGGAAACACTTGAAAGCTTCGAGGCCAAAAACAAGAAGGAAAAGTTCAGAGGCACTGTGAACCACACCAGAAGGAAAAGAAAGAGAAGGTGCAGATGGAACCAAAGTGGTGTTCACCAACACCTCCAATTCCATGTCCCTAAACACAAGACAGGCCAACCCCAGGGCATCCAACCGGGCACACAACCTAGACCACTACCACAAGCCTACACAGTGGCAGCCGCCTGATATGCGCGAACCTCATTTTGAGGGTCAGGAGTGCAAACTTCACAGGATTCTGGGTCATAGGTGTGTCTAACCAAACAGGAGGCCTGGTGGAGGCAGAATAAAAGATCGTCACACTGTGGCACAGATGATGAACACCCGTCAAAGTTGCCCAAGATAAGAATGGGTTTGGAAGGAATATCCATAGGCCAACTGAACTTGTAAAGGATTTCCAGGGACTGAAGGGGAAACCAAGCAGGCCACCTAAGCACTAGTAATGCTACACCAGACCTAAAATAAAGACAATAGCCTCGGCTACATGGATGTGAAGGCCGACCTCACAGCGCCACATATATAAGCACATGAGCCATCAGTGCAACCCACCAGACAACACTGCTCCCGACTCAAGTCAAGACAGAGAGGCGGTTACCTATCTTGCGGTTACCTTGCAATGATTTCGTGGCTTAGTGTCCCCGCGGCCCGGTCCTCGACCAGGCCACCAGGGCAACAAGACCTCTGACTCACCCAAGGTAAGGGCCAACCTAAGCAGGAAGGACCTCTAAGGGAGTGAACTCCCAAACACAGCAGATAAAGAGAACTCTGACAGTGCAGGGGCACTGCTAGAGAGCATTCAGGGAAGACCACCCTGAGCACATGCAGCTCAGGGTTGAGCTGCATGTGCTCACAAGCACTCTAAAAGCCAGACCCATGCTATATCACAGTATAGAAAATAAAGAACACAGGACAAAGGCCAGAGAAGGATTTAGTTGAAAAGCACCGGGACCAGCTACGGCTACTGATGACCCTGGGGGCCTACTGCAGACATCTGGAAGGCGTCGCATCAGCAGAGGAACTGAGGGCTTGAACCAGTGGACAGCATGAGATCCAGCCACCCTCTTTCCCCATAAACAATAGGAGGGGGTGGGGTGAACAAGCGAATTCTTATTTCGAGAAATTTTTGAGCATTTCTTTACATGTTGGGGCAGGTTGTGAGGATTTGGTCTCTGAACAAGCAGTGGTATGGATTGGATTGACTTCTGGGGCCTTTCCCTGTGAGTTGGCAAAGTGTCGCCTGCTTCCTGTATCTCCGTGAGGCCAGGTTGTGGCTCTGGTCTCCGGTAGGCTGAACTCAACTCCATAGCTGATGCGACCCAGTAGTTAAGGGCTATCTCAGTGAGAGAGCTTCAGGGAGCCACAGTGAGAAAACCAAGATTAAAAAAATGGGAAAAATAATATTTAATAAAAATTATTTTTTTTTTTGTATTAAATTACAACTTGTATTTCAATACATCTTACCAGGAATCTGTTTTATCATAAATCTTAATTCAGAGGAAATATTTGGTGTGGATTTTAGTGAAATCTGCTATATTAAGGTTTGAATTTTCATGGGTGCTATTGCAGTATTAAATGCTGTAAAGAGATTTTATTCATGAAGTTGAGCATGTGTTAGTCACTGGTGTAATCGAAGACAGATTTGATATAAATGAAGATTATGCCAGAGTTGTGTAATGTTCTTATGGATAGAGTTATAGTGGAGTTTAAGGTAAGATTACTAGAAAAGGGTGTGAAATTTTCTATGTGATAGCAATAAATGAAGTAAATAAAATATGATGTATGCAGATCATCATATTTTGATGACCTATCAAAATATCAATATTATTTTATCAAAATATCATATTTTGATATTTTTGACGTCAGTTCACCTGACAACAAATGACTGAGATAGATTTATAGAAAGTTATAGTTTTGTTGATGCAGGTGAGAGAAGATGGCTAAGAGAGAATGTGGACACAAGTAATGGTGGTGGGAGAGAAATGGAAACTTTGCATGTGAAATAAGGGTAAATAGAGAAGTCCCAGCAGAGGTTAATTGGTTTAAGTACCTAAAGTCTGTAATGAACAAAATTGGAATTTGTGCAAGAGAAGTTGAGATTAGAAAAAGTACTTTTAGGAAGTGTCTGCCTGTCAAACACACGATGAAACTTTGATGTTGCCACAACACTTGAACAAAGTTTAACACTTTCTAACAATTATAACAGTAAGTTGTAACAAACAATCTAATACGTCATAAAAACATTATAACAAGATGTAACAACTATATTAAAATTTATAACAAGGGAATCATAGGGAGCGCTACATTGTATGTTTGCAGGGTGGTGTACCGAAGACGTTGGTTAGTAAGAATAAGATTGCAAGAGATGCAGCAAGAGAGGTGCATGAATTAGCGAGTAATAATTATCCTTGATTCTGGATTTAAGATGTTGGCATGGCATGAGTATCAAAGGTCAAGTATTAAAGCAGCAGAAATGGACAGTTGTGATGTATTTATAGGGTGGGGGGCAGAGAGGGGAAAAACGGAGAGGAGAAAATGAAGAGATAAAAAACGGAGAGGGGAAAATGAAGAGGGCAAAACAGAGAGGAGTAGCCAGTAGTAGTAGCCATCAGCAGAGAGAGGAGGGAGAAAGGATAGGGAGGATGGATCCAAAATATGATGATATGCATACAATCCATTAAGCCAGGATTGAGAGTGAATACTGCACAAGAAGTACTGGGGAATAATGTGAGGTAGAAGCTGTCTATTATAAATAACTCATTGGAAGCCGTGGAGCACTTTTTTTATTGGATGATTTACTGCAGTGTGATTGTGCACAAGTTTAAGTGACAACAGGTAGCGTTGAAGATTGGCTGAATAGGTGGGGTGCCTTTGGGGAATTTTTCACCTTTTTCAATTCATCTGGGCTCATACCCTTCCCCCCCCCCCCCTCCCAACCCATGAAAGTAGGAAACAGCAAAATGCACTAACAGTAGGCAACTAATATAGAAAGTCTATATAATTAGTCTATAGAAAGCATAATCTAGTCTATAGAAACGTTAGGCCTAAGCCTAAACTGGCTTAGGCCAGTTTATTGTATATTGGCTGTACTGTATATTGGCAACTGGCAGTTGCCAATATACAGTAGGAAAATGTTTTAAAATACCAATAAAAAGTTGTAATAAATCTTAACTTGACACCAAAGAGTATGCACTGTACCTCATTATTTAATAAGATTAGTGGCAGAAGTGGACGGGACATACTCCACTGGTTTCTACAATCTTCAAACATGATGATGTTGAGAACCGTGGCTAACATCTGTTGGAGGATGGATGGCTGGTGTTTCATGACCTTAACCAGGGCATCAGTCTCCAGGTCTACTGTGCCTTTTTTGCCTGAAATTTAATTAGTTAAATGGATTTTTTAAGATTTCTACACTTCAAGGTGCATATAAGGGAATACAAAAAGCCTGAAGTCTACTCAAAATATATTGATGATAACAACTTTTCCACAGAGTAAAAGTGATCTGTCAGATGTACTGTGGACTCAGCAGTTCATACAAACTGCTGAGTCATCTTGCTAAACTCTACTTAAAAGATAAGGAAAAGTCTCCAAATTGATAAGCTACCCAATTTAAAGGTCAGAAGAATAAATAATAAAGATTCACACAACTTTCTAAGTCTTAATGAATTCACATTCATTGCAAAGTATATATTCAGGTCACACTGATAACTCTCCTTTCAAGAACATATAATTAAAACAAATTACAAAGATATTACTTACTCTTTTGGTGTAAAATTTTGAAGAGGTATGTGACAATGTGGTCAAGGGTCGCACAGCAGCCTGTACACACCATCGTATCTGGAACAGGACAGAGTAGCACATGCAAGTCTTAGTCTAGGGGGTAGAAAATATTTACTTACTTTTCTGGTGCAAAAGTTTGTACAGGTAAGTGACTATATGGTCCAAAGTTGCACAGCAACCACTGCAGACCATTGTGTCTGAAAAACATGACCCACCATTAGTATAAACTACTTTTGTACATAATACCTTAAAAATCTACATATTCATTTATATATACATGTATATATATATTGTATATAGATTTTTGTTTGCCAGAACTGCACTACCTGGCCTCGAATGTAATGCCTGATTTACTTCATATAAAGTCAAATGCCTGATTTTTGTTATTTTCAAATATTTGTTTCCAAATTGGTCTATTTCAGTTAACAGTATTATATTAAGAACATGTATTACTTACTTACTTAGGTTAGGTTAAGATAGGTCAGATTAGGTAGGTTAGGTAAAGTTTGACCAAATTTCTATGTTAGTTTTAACTCAAAAATCCAGCGTTGAATGTAATGAAAAGCCAGATTCTGGGTGAGCCCCAGAGGCTCCCTGAAGCTATACTAATTAAATGCCATACTACGGAGTCATCAGTCGCAGAGTTCTTGTATGCCTACTGAGGACCAGGAGCCAGGATCTGGCTCCCTCAGAGAGGCGCAGGGAGCAATGGCCCATGAACTCTTTACATTTAAAGTTTGTCATCTTCCCATCAACCAGGAAAGGCAACCAGAAAGGTAGGCGAATCAAAACAGACTACTGCCAAGTTGAAAAATGCAACCTCTGTTCTCTTAAATATCAAAAGAACTCCCCACCAAGAAACAACCAAAACTTCATCCAACTAGCTCCCCCGCTTGTTAGCTCTATCCCGCCCTTCTTGGGGCTAGGTGGGGGGAGGGAGCCAGCCCGCCACCAGCTAGTTTTGAATGATAACAACAGCTGACAACAGCTGACCGGAGGGAGGGAGGGTGGGTGTCAGAAAGCCTCTGGGGCTCACCCAGAAACTGCCATTTCATTTGTTATTATTTACACTTCAAATACAAGAGTGACCTCATGAAGCCGGTTCCATATTTTTGCATTGGCGGGACTCAAGAAATAACCAAAGTGCATGCATTACATTTACTGAAACCCAAGGGATAATACATTAAAAAGGAATAATTTCTTACTCACCCAATTAACGATTACAGTTCCAGACACTCGGATATTAATGGAGGTATATAACATCACAAGCACACACCACATTACCTGTGTGTGTAGATTCTGAGCTCTCTCTCTCTCTCTCCCGTGGAGTGTGGGGACACTCCTCTCACAAAAACGCGCAGGGGAAAACTTTACTCACAGAATCATACTCATTTACTAATACATACTGTCAATCACAAATGAAACATAAAAATTACCATAAATAAAACAAACTGGTATTTTAATAAGAAAAACATTTACATTAATAACAACAAAAGCTAAACTTTATATACCAGTCAATACAGCAGGTGGCATTGCGGAGGCAGTAAGAGGGGGCCTGGACTGCAATAAGACCTAGGCACAACCTAAAAACTCATACCCAGCAAGTGCAGACTCAAAGAACCTCTCCATGCTGACCTCTGCTGAGGTTTGGTAGGGTCATCGCGGATCCCAACAGTAAAGAACAAACCAGGAACTGGGCAAAGGGCCGTTCACCAAGACTAGAAGAACTAACTCCGACTACAACCCAGCAGCACAGGTGGCTCAGAAGGGTGTAAGTGGTACACCATAAATGAAGCATATTGACATCGATGCCTCGCAGAGGAATCAAAGACTCATGCACACTCTGGGTGAGGCTCCAAGGTGAACAGTTTATCAGACCCTACACAAAAGAAAAAACATGCATATGAAACAAATAAGAAAAGATGAAGTACACAAGCAAATGGGCTCCCCTGAAGGACAGTCCAAAGAAAGGCATCACATCTGAAAAACCAGGACTTGAAGAGCACTATTAAATATGAGAAGCAGAAGTGACACTGCACAGTCGCACCAGACTTAACAACCGAGGAGTTGTCTGGGCAGAGCCAACAAATGGGGGTGCTGCCACCTGGTAGTGGGCAGCTGCTACTAAACAGTGAATTACCTAAATATTGGGTGGATCATTTCAGTATCTTGTTTTCTATGCATTCTTTACCTTGTTGTTGTCAGGTTTATTTTGCTCTAACTTTTTGATGTTATTCCTGGATATGAGTGACTTACTATTCTTAGTTCCCTGCACCTCTAGAGAGAGAGAAACCAGGTTTTGACCTCTGGTTCTCAGGATACCTGATCAACCAGGCTGTGACTCATACGTCAGGCTGCGAGCAGCCGCGTCCAACAGCCTGGTTGATCAGTCCAGCAACCAGGAGGCCTGGTCGACGACCGGGCCGCGGGGACGCTAAGCCCCGGAAGCACCTCAAGGTAACCTCAAGGTAAGGTAACCACAAGCTGAATTTCCAGAGACACATTCTAAATATATAAAAAAAAGTTTCAAAAACTGTGGGCATTCTTTCTAAGATCAGATATTATGTACCACGCCCTGTCCTAGAGACTCTCTATTACTCCCTTATCTATCCATATTTCAACTATGGTATTTGTGCTTGGGGCTCTACTACCCAAAATCACTTACGTCCTCTAATTACTGAACACAAAGCTGCTATTAGGACAATATCCAACTCTGGCCCCAGACATCACTCGGTACCCCTACTCAAATCTCTGAATATGTTAGACATTAAGTCACTGCACATTCTCTCATGTGTATTATACATATATAAAACGCTAAACACTAATGCCAATCCTGATCTCAAAAGCTTCATAGAAGGTTGTAACAGAACCCATGAGCACCACACCAGAAATAAATACAGTTTTGATATTCCTAGAGTACGACTTAATCAAACCAGAAATGCTCTACAAATCAAGGGGCCCAGTATGTGGAATGACCTTCCCGACCATGTTAAAGACTGTACCTCTCTCAACCAGTTTAAGTTAAAAACGAAGCTATACCTAATAAATTCCCTGTAACCTACCTTACCCTTCTATTGTCAACCAATGTCTGTTTTTCTTTAAAGAGCGCTGTTTGTCGACATATTTGTATTTGTGCTGCTTTTTCATCTATGTTTTCATTTCTTGTTTTCATCTACTCATTATGCTCAATTAGTATTAAGCTTGTCATTTAAGTTTATCATGCCCGAAACGCTTTGCGTAATAGTGGCTTTAGGCATTGTATGTACTAGCTCTACCTATAAGTCAACCAATCTTTGTAAAAATTTATTGTATGTATGTACCTTACCTAAATAAACATTTTATTTTTATTTTATTTTTATTTTATTTAAGTGACTTGTTGAAGAGCAATGCAATAGCAGGGGCTAAAGATCTGGAGGCTTTTTTGTAAATTAAAGTTGGTATCTCCTCAAGGGCACTAGACTTGGTTTTAAGGGAAAGGATTATCTCATTGACGTCAGTGGAATTAATAGGCTTTAGGTACAGAGACTGTGGATAGTTACCTGTAAGATAGTCCTTAACATCAGTACTGGAAGATGGAATATCATTTGCAAGGGATGACCCAATGGAAGAGAAGAACCTATTGAACTCAATAGCAGAATCAGAGGCTGAAAGCTGACCATCGTTATTGGACAGGAGTGTTGGTTTCTTATTTAAAATCTTCTTTGAACCCCCAATATTTGTGAAATTGTGCTCCAAGTATTTTTAATGTTGCTCTTTATTTGGGTAAATTTATCTTCGTAGTATTTAGTTTCGGCTCGTCTAATTATCTTAGATAACAATAACGAGTAATTCTTTGAGAATTCTTTGGAGACAATTCCTAACCTATACTTCTTCTCAAGGTCATGTTTTTAATTAATGGATTTAAGTATTCCCGTTGTAAGCCAGGGATTGTTAAGCCTTTTGGTTGTGACTTGTTTTATAAGCATAGGACAGTGGGTGTTATAAAGGCTAAGAGTTTTTTGAAGAAAAGATTGCACTGCTAGGTTGATGTCCCCTATGTTACCTAACTCGGACTCCCAGTTGACATTATCAGCAGTAGTTATAAAATTGTCTATAGCAGTTTCATTGTACAGCCTAAAACTTAACTCCCTTGACTCTAGAGGTGGTTTGCTAATGTTAGTTAAGAGAAATGTGGGGTAATGGTCTGTAGTGCTATCGGTGATTATACCTGAAGTAAGCGGAGAGGTTATGTTGGTCCAGATGTGATCTAGAGTCGTGGAAGTACTATCAGTGATTCTAGGAGGTCTAGTGATTAAGGGTATGAGGAAGCAGGAATTCATACAGTTGAGGAAGCTAACAGCAGTAGGGTGTTCAGGCTCGCAGAGGTCAATATTAAAGTCCCCTGCGATAATTAGATGGTTTTTGTTCAGTCTGTTATCTAGTATTAGATTTCTAAGGTTTGAGTTGAATTCGGACACATCAGTATTAGGAATTCTATAGACTGCACCACAGACAGGACAGACTCGGCACCCTTGACTCTGAAGCTGGCGAAGATATACTCCCCACAGCAGTCTCTTGTTCTAATTACTTTTAAGCATGTTAGTTCTTGGTGGTAGTAAAGAGCAGTACCACCACCCTTCTGAATTTGACGACAATTGTGAATTGCCGAGTAGTTAGGCATGTTAAAAAGTTAAGTAGTATCCTCTTTCAACCACGTTTCAGTAAGTATAATAAAAGAGAATTTGTTGTCAATAGTTTCACTCAAGGCACTAACATCATCGAAGTGTTTGCTTAGAGATCTTACATGCAAGTTAATTACAGAGATATTGTGATTATGTGTTAATACATTGTTTACATCATGTGCTGTAAATTATCTGCAATTTAGATCATTAAAGTGATGATTGTCATAGATAGTGGATAAGAGGTTTAGTTCTGGGTCTATACTTGTCTGCATAAAAAGGCTGGTTGCAGGGAAAACAAGGCAAGAATGGCAAATTACAAAATAGGATTATGCTAAAAAAAGGGGGAAAAATATATAAACAAGACTATACAAAACAAACACAAAATGAACAACAAAAGAAAGTTACTACTGCTCGGCTTAGACTCGGTTACAAGTATCTCTGGGAATTCTCATTATCTGCTGATGTAGACCTGACCAAATATAAACTGTGCCAACAAAATTATTCGCACACCCTCCTTCACTATGTGATGGAGTGCGAAAAGATATGTGAATTTAGAGACAATTCTATTACCAATGTTCCTGCGATGTGTAAATATTTCATTCAAAATGATCTGCTACCAGAAATTTTAGCCAAATATCCCCAGTTTGCTAACTGTAGGTAGAAACTGAGTGATTGTAACCTATCCACCGCTGCCCACTGGATGGGGGGCGGTGTGCAGGAGAAACATATAAATTGTGACACTAGCTCTCCACATATGTCAGTTGCTTAATTTAGAACCTGTACTTGAGGTCGATTTCGAACCCATTGTTGATGTGACGACTTATATTGAATTTTGTAACTAGCTCATCATGATTGTAACTTGCTTAGCTAATTGAATTGTGGGGTTCAGTCCCTGAGCCCATTATGTGCCTCTGTAACCCTTTCCACTACCGCCCACAAGATGGGTATGGGGTGCATAATAAATGAACTAAACTAAAAAAAAAAGTAAATGAACTCTTATCCCCCAATTAGCTATATTTCACATTTCTCAGACCAATCCTAAATCTTTTTTTAAAGTATGAATTGACTTTATCAAAGAGACGAAGCAGATCAGTCTAGCCTTCACACTGTCTTAGAAAACTTCACTCTTGGAATACTCAGAAGAATCGTGCATTCTCATCATGCAAAGCTTCATGTTAATTTGGACTACAATTACATATGTCTGCCTCTGGAGATAGTGGACTTTGGTTACGAATTTTCAACACTTCAGGCAACTAACAGACAAAACAATTTTATAACTCAGGAAAAGTTTCAAAATATTCAAGAAAGATGCCATAATATTTAAGTGAAAGCTTGCAAAGAGCTTCTTTCTCGTATTCTAAGTAATGCTGAAACTTTCAAAATCGTGTAGTGTACTCTATATATATATATATATATATATATATATATATATATATATATATATATATATATATATATATATATATATATATATATATATTTTTTTTTTTTTTTTTTTTTTTTTTTTTTGAGATATATACAAGAGTTGTTACATTCTTGTACAGCCACTAGTACGCGTAGCGTTTCGGGCAAGTCCTTAATCCTATGGTCCCTGGAATACGATCCACTGCCGCGAAGAATCGTTTTTTCATCCAAGTTCACATTTTACTGTTGCGTTAAACAGAGGCTACAGTTAAGGAATTGTGCCCAGTAAATCCTCCCCGGCCAGGATACGAACCCATGACATAGCGCTCGCGGAACGCCAGGCGCGAGTGTCTTACCACTACACCACGGAGACTGCTACATATTAAAATACTGCTATATATTATATAAAAGACTGCTATATATTAAAATATATTACTTTGAAACCTGTATCAGTCACTAAACAAAAAATTGGGCTACTCTTATTGCAAATTCGCTACTTTTAGACCCTCAGCTCGCTACTTTCAGCAATTTGTATCTGGCAACCCTGGATGAGAGGGTAAGCGACCGCCGCCATTTTAGCGCCA